AGGGTCTGTTTTCCATCCGGTGGGTGAATTTCTGTTGAAGCATCAGTGTGATTTCTGTGGGTTTGTTTGCTTCATTTTTAATAGCCAATGACAAAAATTGATGTTAAAGAATATTTTGCTTTGATAAACTTTATAAAAAATTTACTAACCTCAGAATTATGAGATATTAATCTAGGTAATTGAATTTTGTGGGATCAAAAAGCATCATATGTACTCATTATTAGATATACATTTATACAGTGTTCCTTCTATTTTATTATGAGATAATTCATGTAACTGAAGAGTATGATATGAGTTTTCTAAATTCCTTATTGGTGTTTTAAGGATCTCAGTTTGCTGTTGCAGCTACTTCTCTCTGTTATATCGAGTTTCATGAATTAATCATGTCTAATTAGAAATTACTGTTTGTGACTGACAATATCCACATTATGTGCCTCTGCTAAATGAAATATTGTTTATTCTTAAAGGAGTGAAGATTGGGTATGAAATATCTACAATCCTTTTGTGCTAAACATAAAAGAACATGTCAACAACAGCAGCTCAAATAAACTCCTGAACAACCAGCAATCTTGTCTCTTGACTGTTTCTCAACATCAGAATGATCACTAAATTATAAAATCCAACATGGTTTAAATCATAATTCAGACATATTAAGGACACATAAGCTGCTTCCCAATTCAGATGCTGCATCCTTTAAAGGCTTCATTCAAAGACGAACGCATCACAGCAGCGCAATGAAGACTTTCCCATTTCAAATGTGATCCTTCTCAGTCCAGCAAATCCCAAGATTCATTGCACACGAGTGATGCACTTTTAGGGGGCACACTTTTAAAATTCATTTTTTAACCTACTTTCAGTATTATTCATTCAGTCATTTTTCACCATGTCATGTATCACTGCAATCTCTAGAAGTAAGCTATAACAATTTAAACTCAAATGAATGTTTCATAATGTTTCATTTATCTGACAAATAATTTTGTATTGTAGTGTCAGGGGCGTCATGCACTCATTACTTTTGTGGGGGCACGAGTGGGAGGAGTGTGGGGGGCTCGTCATGCCACAGCAGCCACCATAGCACTGTATAACTGATATAGGTTTATGTTTTAATTTTTCATTTTTATTCGAAATATTCCCAAATGTGTTACCTATATCATGAAATATCTCGATTCTCAAATATGTGTAAGTAAATGCATTTTGCACCTTTATAGATTATGTTGATCTACAGGCTAATGGGCGGTGGGCAAAGTAGCCTAATAGTGTAATCTATTAACTACGCATAAAAACCCAGTTTTTACTTAAATACCAGATATGGGTGTCATGCCATAAAATATTTTTAATAAAACTGACTTGTATTTAATGTGAATTTAATAAAAACATTGTACGTTACTAATTATAACACTTTCATGGTACAGAAAGTGAGGAAAGAACATTTACATTATCAAAAAACATTATCACTGACTTCAGTCTAGCCAGAGTTTAAGCACTCTCAAAAACTCCCATTAAAATCACTCAAGCTGTTTCCATTGTGAAATGAATATATTACTTACATTCCTACACACATCTGCACTTTGTTATTTCTGATGAGAAAATTTGCAGAAATCAGTCAGCGAGCGCACACACTGAACAAAACTCTGGCGTTTCAGCGATGACTCATCGGAACGCCTCTGATTGGTCATTGCATTCATAAGCTTAACAGAATCACGTGTGATTGGTTAAAATGCGCAGCGCTGTAAAAAAACGCCCTCTGGCTCTGCGCCAGTCAGAGAACACAGATCTGAATTTAGCAGCTGGTGATGTTTGACTTTTTTGCATTACTGCCACCCACAGGACAAACTGTGCATTGCACCCAACATTGTTCGGTGTGATACTTATAGGAAATGTTGCTATAAGTTTGATTGCATCATATAATAATTGCTGTTAATAGTGTTCATTGTCTGTTTGATTACGTCTTTAATTGATTACGTTTTTAATTGATTTTTCCGTACATTTCTGTCATATGTACATTACCTGACAGTCACCACTGATAAGCTACCACTAAATATTGTAGAAACCTAATTTGCTGTAAAGTTGCTTTGCAGCGATTTGTATCGTGAAAAGCTCTATACAAATAAACTTGACTTGAATTGAATTGATACGATTCCAACTTGCTGACACGGAGGAACTGGCCCCCTTCTTATATGTTTAACCCTACTAATGTGACCCAGAGTTTTATCCTTAATGATAATTTATCCTTTTTTTATTACGAAAACCCAAAATCGCTATCTCTTGAATGTGTTGTTAATGTCTTTATTTTATGTGCAACATTTTTCATCCACAAGCAAAAGTGCCTTAAAAGTGCACAGCTAACCTACTGAGAGAGGTAATCTGACTATACATATACTATAAATAGTTGGCTATACATACACATAATCTGAGAGAAACTGTACAAGAACTTTACATAAAAACTGAACATGAGATATTGTGTCTGGTTTCAGGAGGTAGGGGTTGTGGACGAGGTTTCAGAGGGGGGCAGGGAGATACGGGGAAAAAGCTGTTGAGCAGTCTGACAGAGCGAGCTTTGATACTCCAGTACCTTCTACCTGATGGCAGGAGCTGGAAGACACTGTGGGAGGGATGAGTGGGGTCCTTCATGATACTGGTAGCTTTGCTGGAGCATCGTGCAAAGAAAATGTCCAGGACGGAGGGGAGAGGGACACCGATGATCTGTGTTCACTGTCCGCTGTAGAGTCTTGCGGTCAGTAGCACTGCAGTTCCCATACCAGACAGAGAAGTTCTGTTTTCTGTTTTTGATTGTTCATCATTCAATATAAGTTCTTCAATTTATAGCTTTCAGTTGCGTGATTGGCTTGAAGACCTGGCGGGCAAAACATCCATATAAATGCAACATAAGCCTGTCAATTTTCCATCTGTTTCCAATAAACAAATATTTAGATCATCTCTCAAAAAGATCAAACAAAGATATGTGAACAAAATGCAAGTTTTGGCCATTTGCAATACATACAAAACACCCGCCTCAATATTTCAGTTAAAAACAGCAGGACATTCTAAAACGTTTAAAGTGAAAACACTTAAAGAGCCTTTAAACAGTGATATTAAAGATCAAATTCACTACACACCTTTTTAACGATGCATACAGGCAAGCAAGAAAGATATGAGCGACAGGTGCACTAACACCTCATAGCATCAGTAACTCAACAACCCTCACTAGCACAGTTTTCCTCAGCATTTGCAATGTCTGCACAAAGGAGACATCGGGCAGCTGCTTGAAGATCTCACCTTTGGAGAAGACTGTTGATTATATACTCACAAAATGTATTACTACTTAAAAATTAAGTAGTAAATAACCAATCACCATGGCATCTAACAAAAGGGAACCATGGAAACAAACGAGGCAGGTAGGCAAACAGGGGCACTGAGCACAAAAACACTGGGGAAATAAGAGTACAAGACAAGAGGACACAGGTAAGGATCATGACAATAGTTTAGTTAAACTAATTTTACCTGGAAAAATTATATTTCTTGCTCCATCTTTGTATGTAAAATTCTGTCAGAAACGTCTCTGCTGTGTCCCGATGGCAGCTGTCATGCAGTTGCTTGGCGACAGGAGCGGTGGGCGGGAACAGGAAACCCTCTGTAGAACCGCCTTTGTGAACTTTGAAGGATGCAGCCTCTGAATTGGGACACCGTTATAGTGTAACTTTCCTGTTGTTGCAATAAAATAGATGAATAAGACTGCAATACAACAACATTCACTGTTTATCCTGCTGTTTTACATCAAAGATGTAAATATAGTTCAGCCTGAAGGTCTAAATGTGGTGAGGACATATGCAAATGAATGAGGATGTGTTTATATGCAAACGTGTTTGTGTTTTCTTAAAAATAAAGCATACAATAAACAGCAGGAGTATGAAACAAACAAAATAAGAATTTTCACAAAGAAATGAATTCTAAAATAAGAATAATAATAACAATGTTTTAATTTCAGCATTCCAGCCAATCACAATCAAGTATTAAGACAGAGAAAAGACACATTTATGCCGAAAACAAAAGCAGCAGAAGATGATGTTATCTAACAGCAAGAAGAAGAAGGAGAAGGAGAGGGAAAAAAAACACAAAAAAAGGGAATCGTCTTCATCTTGTATTTTTTTTGTTCCAAATCCTCCTCTCAATAAATACTCTCTCTATAATAGTCAAAATCAGTGGTGTAGTGCAGGGTATGCGCAGGTAGGCCTATACCTACTTCTTTATCAGTCAGCATTGTGTATACCCACTTCATTCAAAGGGCATTCATCCTTTGCTGGGATGGGGGAATAAATGAAGAGTATACCCGCTTCTCAAGGAACCACTAAAGCACTGGTCCAAATTACTCCTTCATCTCACACACGTTTCTTTCTCTTTGTCTGAAGCTCCTCAAACAGAGGGTTTTTTAAGGCTCTCAGTAACCAGTATCACATGTCTTCACTACTGAACTCTTAACCCTCATCAATCAGCTCATTAGTGGGGTGTTCGTTTCAGCAACGCATTAAAAAGTGGCTCAACAGAGAAATATACATGTCAAATTGAACATGGATTTAACTCAAATTATGCAGTCCACCAATAACATGAAATCAACTGGTTAGTTGTGAATGTTAGAAAGCACATTATGAATGTTTTTATGTTTATAATTTTCTTATAATTAAGGTCCATATTCATATTGACTCAAACTGACTGACACAGACATCAATATGCAAATTAGTACACCAGTATAAAGGAAGTGAATATGAAATAGGGGTTTTAGAGTAATAAACAAATGAAGTGACGTGCTGAATGACGGATGAGAGCAGATATAATAATCATATAGTTTGAAGCTGCAGACAGAAACATCAGATTCAGGACAGAAACACTCGACCTCTAAAGTAAGAACAACTCACATCTTCATTCTTTAACCATAAACCATGAATCCTGTTACACTGATAAGATGCTTTTTAAAATATCATGTTTTACTCCAAGATGAATAAGAGAGTCTTTCTTCCTCAGAAATGGAGCAAACTCTATATTTCATTCTTCTTCTCATTGGTGAGTGTTTGTGGTTTTATTTATGGTTTCTAGTTTCATTAGGTTTGATCCTGTTATGAAAAGCATTAAAGCAAAGCCTCTCTTTCACAGCTCTCTGCTCCGTATCTGAATGTGTTCAGCGTCAGTATCACTTTATAAACGAGAAGATGAACTGGACTGAAGCTCAGAGATACTGCAGAGAGAAATACACAGATCTGGCCACCGTTGACAACATGAACGAGCTGAACAAGAGTGTGTATGGTGAACGTATCTGGATTGGGCTGCAGAAGACGGGTCGTGATGAATGGCAGTGGTCTTCAGGGGAACCTGCGCTCTATCTGAACTGGGCGACTGGACAACCAGAAGGCAGAGATTATTGTGCTATGATGTTAAAAGGACAATGGGAGGATCTGCCATGTAGTGATAACCGGCATTTCATCTGCAACAACAGTGAGTGCAGCTATTTAAAATCAATTTATATAAATTCAACAGCCATTCATTTATAGATGTGCATATACCAAATTTTAATGCAATACTGACCCCTATTTTAATTTGATTGTGAATATAGAAGTGACTGTTCATTTGTCACACATTCATTGTTAATACAATTTCTGTATAGACACAATATTTTCCAAAGAATAAAAGACTTCACACTATGGGGTAATTTGTCACAATAGGAACCTGTAGTTAAAGTGACTACAGAGAAAAACAATCACAGAGAGAAAGAGAGATTGATATGGAACTAGTTGTTAATAATCATAATCATCATAACTGTAATGTTCATAAGAAATACGTACAGCAGTCACTAGACGTGATAGAGTTTATTTCAGTCTTCAGTATCTCAATACAAACCTGTAATAGCTTAGTTTTACTTGTACATGAACTCAAGTCTAGTTCATGATAGTCCATTAAAACAAATAATTTATTAACTCTTAATTTATAAATTAGTAATCTACAGTCCAAGTAAATGTTTCTATGGATTAGTTAATAGCATATTTAGCTGCAGTGTAACATCTTCCTCTGTTTGACGTTTCTCTTTGTGTCTGAATCAAGTATTCATAATGGATAAATAGAGAGAGCTTTATAATCATCACAATGTTCCCCAGTGTTACTTCATGTTAGATATTTAAAACAATCCTGAAAATATTGTGAATATTCAATATATCACCAGCTGTCTTTGAGTGACGTGTTTCTGATGTTTCCACCGCTGCTCCTGTTCACATCCAAACCATAAAGCAGCGTAAGAATAATGAACAAACTGATTCATGAATCTTTGTCCACTTGTTTTTCTTAAAGCGAACACAGGACTTGTCTTTGTCAATCAGCTGATGAACTGGAGAGACGCTCAGAGTTACTGCAGACAGAATCACATTGATCTGGTCAGTGTGAGAAACCAGGATGAGAATCAACAGGTTGAGAAGATCATTAGTGATAATAACTCATCTGGATCATATGTTTGGATCGGTCTGTTCAGAGTCAGAGACTCATGGCAGTGGTCAGATCAGAGTAACTCCTCATTCAGATACTGGAACACTGGTGAACCTAATAATCATGGAGGAGTTGAAAACTGTACAGCTGTTGAACAGAACGCTAAGGGACGATGGATTGACATCTCTTGCACCAACCAGTTTCCTTTTGTGTGTCATGATGGTGAGTAGATCCTCACAAAACACACACAATCCATCCATCACCTCCAGATCTCTTAAAGTTCACGCTACACGTCTGACATGACAAATTCATCCACAGTGTTTGTTCTGCATGTTGTTTTTGATCAGTCTCTCTCTAGTTTCTGCTTGTGCTTTGTTTGGTTTCCAGATAAACTGATTGTGATCAGAGAGAATCTGACGTGGTCTGAAGCTCTGAGATACTGCAGACAGAATCATGTGGATCTGGTCTCGGTTCATTCAGAAGAGATTCAGCGTCGTGTGATGAACGTGGTTAAACGGGCGTCTACTGCGGCGGTGTGGTTGGGTTTAC